CTCTGGCGGTAGCCCCTGTCCGCAGGGAGTTCTAGTGGGGAATTGAGACACTCCCCCCGACCCACCTAGCTGAAGCAGCCCTGTCCACAGAGGGTTCCCAGCTCCAGCACGAGCCATAACTGAGCAAGCCTGGCTCAGTTCCAGCTCATGTTGTGTCCTGCACACCCAGCTCTTACTACATTTAAACTGTAGAGCTGCAGTGGGGGTAGTTCCTTCTGAGTGCTTTTCCTTATTAACTAATTGTGTAGTTGATACAATTTGTGTCACGATTACCCACCTCTTAAAATCATTACTATGTGCCTTCCTTAGGCTCAGATTTTCAAATTTCAGATTTTGCCTCATTATTATCTTCCATTTACAAATGAAGAACTATTTCTCTCCTTCACAGGGCAATTTTGAGGGTATACTAAAAACTGCAAGATATTCAGGTAATACGGAAATGGGGGTTGTATAAATACCATGGCTAGAGTTCATACTTCTGTTCAAATGTTGATTGCTTGGCTCTCCATCTCTTTGAACACCTGGAAAAAAAAAACCCTTTAGAAGAATGTTGGCATTTCTGAATGTGCTAGGAATTGGTGAAAATAGCTCTGGGTGGTGACAACGGCAGCACATTTCCCCCTTATACAAAATTCCTATAGAATATATTGGAAATAAAACCAAGAGGAGAATTTCCATATACATGTGATGGGATTCTATAGACTGTAAAATCCTATCAGATTTAAGATAACTCATTCTTTATATATGGGGCCTTTGAAGTCTGTATGAGGGATACACTTCTTTATTAAGTTTCATGAAACTTTTTAAAAATAATAAAAAGGATATTTTCCATTCAGACCTCTAGAACTTTTCCATAACTGTGTGGATGTGATAAGTTCATGAACTCACTGATTCAATTCCGAAGAAGAATTCTGGGTAAGCTGAAAGGCTTGTCTTTCACCAGCTGAGATTGGTCCAATAAAAGATGTTACCTCATGCACCTTGTCTCTCTGTTCTTCATTTTAGGTTGGAGCCATCCCCCTCCAAAACATCTGTGATGGTTCAAGCTGCATCCCAAGCCTCTGCTTTGAAAGATGGGTTTCAGGCAATAGGTTTGCATGAGCTGAGAAACATTACATGATGAGAAATGAGTTCCCATCTTTCCCAAAGTTTCTTGTTTCCTTATCATAAGTTTCAATATAAGAACTTCCATACTGTATCAGACCAGTGCTCCATCTAGCCAGCCACTAGATTTCTGACAGTGGTCATTGCTAAGTGCTTCAGAGGGAGTGAACAGGACAGGCCAATTTCAAGCAATCCATCCTTTCTCATTTAGTCCCAGCTTCTGGAAATTAAAGGTTTTTAGAGACACCTACACAGCATGGTTTTGTGTTCCTGACCATCTTGGCTACAGTCATTGATGTGCCTGTCCTCCATGAACTTACCTAGTTCTTTTTTAGAACCTAGTTGTACTTTTGGCCTTCATAACATCTCATTACAACAGGTTCCAGCAATTGACTGTACATTGTGTGAAGAAGTACTTCCTACTGTTTACTTTAAATTTGCTGCCTATTAATTTCATACGATGAACCTTCATTTTTGTGTTATTTGAAGGCAATCTGCATAATGTTTCCCCAATCACTTCTTCCACACCCATCATGATTTTCTAAATCTTTATCATAACCTTCCTTGGTCCCGGCTATTGATGAATGCACAGAGCTGCCCAGTTTGACATCTCTAGCTAACACATTTCTGTCCTACCTGACAACCCCATTGGGAATCTCATGCAGTACATCCTCTCATCTGTCATGTCCTCTTTCAGTCTCATAACTTGGTGAGGGGGAGCCAGCAGGAGCTTAGGATAGGCAGGTGTCCATTAGGGTAAATGGCAGAAGTGGGGACACAGTAGCTCCAATCCCACTGTTCCTGTATTTTAGGGCTCTGGCTGTTCCCAGTCTCTTAAATCTGCTTTTCAGCCCCTATACTGGCCTTACCCTACCTTTCTTTTGTGTTCCAAGTCCTCCTGTCCTCAACTCACTTCATTTAACTCCCATCAGGTGTAACCATCTTTGACATCAGTCCTCCTGCGTTCCCACTTCCTCAGACATCCATTGTTCCCAGCTCACAAACTGTTCCATTGTTCCTTTGTTACAGATTTTTCCACTACTCCATGCTCCCCCAGCTTCCAAAGCTTCTGTTCTCTGTAACCCTGGTTAAACTGAAATACTACTTGATCTGAGTAAATCAAGTGGTAGAATGGACATCTGAACCATTAAAATGATGATGACAGTCTGCACTAGCTTTATGTACGTTATAATGCATGCAGAAAGCATCACAAGAAAGGGAACTATATATAAAAATAACACTACCTGACTGCATATACCTGCTCCCTATGCATATTAGGGACAAAAATAAATAGTTTCTGCATTTTACTCTCCTTAGCTGTACTGGCCATGTGAAGAAGAGTAGAGTTCCATTCTAGCTGATGCCTTAACAGAATTGCTAACTAGATTCCACTTCAAAAAAATCTTTCACGGTGGTGGTAGATTTCAGTTCTATTTGGCTGTTGCTTGTGAGGTGGTCACGCTGGTAATTAAAATCAAAAGTTATTAGGGTTTGCAAACTGATTACAGTAAGTTCTATTCAAAATCTAAAAACACTCAATAAATATAGAATCCTGTGGTGCTGAGGCTGTGTCTACACTACAAAGAAAAGTCGGAAAAAGATACGCAAATTGCAAACCGCTTTTCTTCTGAGAGGCTTTTCCTACATTTGGCCCATCTACATGGGGCTAAATGTTGGGGGAAAAACCCCTCTTTTGGAACATCCCTTCTTCCTCATAAAACAAGGTTTACAGGGATGCCGAAAAAACACATCTACTTTTCAAAAAAAATTTCAGAAAAGCAGACACGTTCCCTGGACACGGCAGAGTTTTTCCAGGAAATCTTTGGTCTCCCAGAAAAGCTCTGTCATGTAGAGGTACCCTGAGTCATCTTATCAGGCTAGAGGCACATTGCAAATTAAGAAAGAAGTTTGGTCTTGAAAAATCCAGCTGGCATCTAGATTTCAATTTATTGCATATTTTGGGAATGTCATGCTTTTGCCAGATCCCGAATGAACCCTCTGTCTGATTGACTAAAATTCAGGGATCCCTAAACATGGGTGTTAGGACATTGGATTTTGATTTGGTTCCTCTCTATTTAAATATTTTCCCTTTTTCTTATACATTAATTAGGAAGGAAATAAAAACCAAACACTTGTGATATAAAACAGAGCTTCCTAATGGACTAAGAAAATTTCCACAACGTGCACAACCCCTTTTATCCGCACTTCATGTCAGCTTTTATAGTTCTGCTGCTGGTCCTGCCTCCCTCTAAAAAATTTTTATGACCATTAAGAAACATCTTTTTTTTTTTATGGCAGCAAACAATCCTGAGGCTCTGAACAAGTCTACAATAAAAAGCATCTTGCACAAAAGCTTTGGTAATCAAAGGGGAAAAGTGCAGGGTTGCTTTGTAAATTTCGACTTTCTAAGCTCACCAAAATGTAAATGTTTTCCTGTGCTGTGAAGAATAGTGCATTTAAAAAAAAGTGCCTGTAGTCAGAGAGAAACTTTTGAAAATTGCTATGTGTGTATTAAATTGCCCTTTTGGAATTGTATTTACTGATGTGACACTGTCATTAAATCCTATCTTGTAATGACTCCAACTGTAGGCTAGTACTTAGTAAATATTGAAGAGTAGAAGGTTTAGAAAGTTGCTGTGGGTTTTCCCTCCCTAAAATACTGTGAAAATTGGAGAATATGTCATTACAGAGAAGTGGTTCATTAGAGAATAAACTGGAGTGAAAGGCTCTCTGAGTTTTTACTGGCAAAAAACTCAAGGACTCACCTGCTTTTTCTTTCCTCTCATTGGTATGCGATAAACAGTGAGCCTGAAATACTGCTGTAAAATGTGCCACTAAGCTGCCAGAAGAGTTCTCGTCTAGTAGAACATTCAGTCATGGGTTCAGTAGCATGGTAATAGCTCTCCTGGCTCTTGTGTCAGAGTGAGAACACAATCCTGCAATCTCATTCTAAACTACTCTTGGGAATGTAGCTGTGAATGTGGAGACTTCAGCACCAGGGAGGAGGGAGCAGATCTGCAGATGATGAATATCAAGTTTAGATGTAGGCACATCTGGAACTTCCATTATTACAAATGATTTAAGAGGGCATTGCAAGCAGAAACGGCACCCATTCAGTGAAAGGAAAAAAATTCAAACTGAGAGGCCTGAAGTTAGCCCCTCCCAATTCATATTTTGGCACTTTGACTGGATTTTCAAAGGTGTTGATCACTCCTAGCTCCCACTGACTTCTGCAGGATGATCAGCATTTCTGACTATTTCGTATACATGCCTAAATATGAAATTAGGCACCCAACTTTACACATGCAAGCTGGAAAATTCTAGGCACAAGTTCTGTGGGGGCGGTGTGGGGGTAACATACATTTTTTTAAATAAACCTTTGAAGAAATGAAGTCTCTCTTCAGGATGACAACAGGAAAAAGCAGTGTCTCAGACACACTGAAATCCTCAGCAGTGAAACGGTGATGTAATCAATGCTCTCAAGTACCACTGACTTGCTGAGCACTCAGGCAGGTGGGCCAGTGCCGTCATCCACTGCACTTCACTTGGGTCACTGTGCTCGTCTTCCATGCAACACATAAAGGAGGAGAGAACTTTCAATCAAAATTCCTCATTTCTGCCCCCAAGCACAGTGAAACTTCATGAGCTATATTTAAATGGCATCCAGTATTGCTAATCGGTTGCATTTAGATGTCTAGCTACTGATCCTACGTGACAGTATGACAAATCATACTGTGTCTCATACCCATGCCATTAATCATGCTCACAATTTCTTCCCTGCAATATTGGTAGATAGGACACATCTGTCCAGAAATCAAGGTCATTTTTCAAAAGAAACCGTGTAAATGCTATTTAACACTATATATGGACACTGGTCTCTACTTTGTATCTTTCAGATTCCGACCTGAGCATGCGGACGCTCAGTACACCTAGCCCAGCACTAATATGTCCACAGAATTCTCATGGCTTCCAGAATGGCCGAGGATCTTCCACTTCTTCATCTTCAGTCACTGGAGAGACAGTTGCTATGGTCCATTCACCTCCTCCAACTCGCCTTACTCATCCTCTCATCCGGCTGGCCTCCAGACAGCAGAAAGAACAGGCCAACATAGACCGTCTCCCAGATCATTCCATGATCCAGATTTTCTCCTTCCTGCCTACCAACCAGTTGTGTCGTTGTGCACGAGTGTGTCGCCGCTGGTATAACCTTGCCTGGGACCCACGGCTTTGGAGGACTATTCGCTTGACAGGAGAGACAATCAACGTAGACAGGGCTCTTAAAGTGCTGACCCGGAGGCTTTGTCAGGACACGCCAAATGTATGTCTCATGTTGGAGACTGTAATCGTTAGTGGCTGCAGGCGGCTCACAGACAGAGGACTCTACACCATTGCCCAGTGCTGTCCAGAGCTGAGGAGGCTAGAGGTGTCAGGCTGTTACAACATCTCTAATGAGGCAGTCTTTGATGTGGTGTCGCTGTGTCCAAACCTGGAGCACCTGGATGTGTCAGGTCAGTGAAAGTATTTAATATAATCTGAGTTGAGAGACATTTCACCTTTACAGAGGTGAAAAGGAGAGAAAAAGGCACAGAGGGGCAGGGCATAACCTGAGCCCTATAGCTGTGCTGAGATGAAAGCCTATCCTCTTTTCCCTTCTTTCTTACCTATATAAGTATTGATACTCCACATCTTGTGTCAGTGTAGTGACAGTCGGTTGTTTCCACACACCTGCCTCTGAACCAGCCAGCACAGCTCGACCACGCTGCAGCCCCTTTAAGAATGGGCAGCACAGTATCTGGGCTTTCTAGGGGCAGAAAAGCTACATAGCCCTGTGTTAGGGGCAGTGAAGTTTGGAAGTCTAATACCCATAGTTAGAGATACATTTGGACATCTAGGCACTGCCTACCTTCATTTGGGACTTGACCAATGTACTTTCTGCCCCTCCACAGCTTTTATGTGGTGGTTCAATTGTTGAGAGCAGCAACGGTACCTTTGCTGCTTGTCCCCCAGTCTGCTCTCTGGAGCCAGGAGGATCTCATTAGAGCAGTGTTTCTTAAACTGTGTTCTGTGGCAGACTGGTGTGCTGTGAGGCAGTTGGAGGTGTGTCACGGAGAACAACAGAATTCAAAAGTGATGGGGGTTTTTTTTGCTCAATAACTTCCCCCAAAAACAAAATATCCTTGGTGTTCCCCATTAAAAAAAAATATTGTTTTGGTGTTCTTTGGTCTTAAAATGTTTAAGAAACGCTGCATTAGAGGGTGAGTCATAGGGAATTTTCTCCCCCTGGCAGAATTGGTCAGAGCTTGAGTTGGAGGATGAGCCTAAGTGGAAGCATTAGAATAAAATTCAGCAGTGACCTGAGTTAGACCGTCAGCATAATCCCGAGCTGCAGTGGGTGCAGTCCCATACTGAATTAAGTTCACTGGTTCTGCTTATCTACTGCATAGACATATGTGACTGCCTGGGGAGCTGAGCAAAATGGGTGTAAAGTGCTACCCTTTCAGAACAGCAGTTCTCCCACTTGGTATAGGTATAAATGACTGCACCAGACTTGTGGCTGTGGAAAATCAGGGTTCTGGGTTATAACTGGTGACTGAATGTTACTGCTTTTCTTCCAAAGGAAATCTGTCTTCACAGTAGCAAGCTGTCTTGGATGGCAATCTTTGGTTCTGTGGATGTGCACAGGACTTGACTCCCTATAGCCCTGCACATTCTGCAGTTATTTACATTGCTACTACGGGATCAAAATAGTAGTATGTTTGGCTCATTTTGCAAGATGTTTTGGACAACAAAGATCAGATTCACACCGTGGAATGGTAATGACCTTGCTGAGAGCCACACATCTCTTATAGATACTGAACTGTAGTCTCATAAAGTGCTAGAACAGAGAGAGAACTTTTAATTATGACTCAAAAATAGTAGCAAAGAATCTCTTCCCCACCTCATCCTCAGTCACTATTCCAGTAACGTACAGGAGCTGCAACTATCTAGGGTAAAATTTCCCCTGCACAGGAGTTATCTAGGGCTGCTGTGTGCTCTTACGCACAATCCGCAGATCCAAAGGCTCAAATTTAGAGCTGCAAAATACAAATCCAGATAAAAATTGTTCCAGTGTTTTGGGTGTCTGGATCCAAAAGTTTAAGTTCAGTCTGTTCTATAGATGAAGCCCTGCTGTGTAATTTGGATTTGGAGCTAGATTTCACTAAGGCTCATGTATAGTTTTGATCCATATAACACTAGAAACAAAACATAGAGCCTTTGTGCACTGTGGTTAGACATGTCTGAGGGCAAATCTACACTTAAAACATTGCACCAGTGAAACTGTGCTGCTGTGAAAACACCAATATGCCAATGAGCCAGCTTCTCTCATCAGTGTAGTTAGCCTGCCTTTGTGTGAGGCAGCTATGTTAATGAGAGCTTAAATTCATAACTTGCCTAGACACTAAACATCAGGCCTAAACAGAGAAACTGGATGTATGGATTATTACAACAATCTGTAACCTGCTAACAACACCCCAGTTGCTCTCCCCTCCATTTTCACTTGATGACTGGAAAGGTATCAATGGGTCACTTCACCTTGAACAGGTGCCTTGAAAATGTATTACCTATGCATGCTCAACAATCTGTTCTGTTTTGTATTTAGCTGTGATACTCTAAGTTTCCAGGACCTGAGAAGAGCTCTGTACAAGCTGGAAAGCTTGTCTCTCACCCCAACAGAAGCCGATCCAAAAATTACCTATCTTGTCTCTCTATGCAGAGTCTATCAGGATGAAAATTGTGGCTAAGATCCCCTATAAAGATAGAACTAGAAATATAAAATGTGGCAGAGGGGGTTGGTTTGGGTTTCATTTAAACATTCATCTTTAGAGCTAAATCGCTTAACACTCAGCACTGGACTAGTGTGTGAGAGACACAGGAAATGGAATTAATTAGAAACCAAAAAAAAAAGTGTTTTTCCCAATGTCCAAACTGTTCAGTCCACAAAAGTAAACACAACCCCTGTTCTGGGGGCTGGACCCCTGAGGGGCTGAGTACTGCACTTGTAACTAACTTCAGCGGAAGCTGAAGGCCATTAACCTTTACTCTGAGCAGAATTAGGACCATTGATTTCAGTGTAATTTTAACTCTCACTATGGGCAGCTGGTGACCCAGCCATCTGTGGGGGCTATCCCCTGGCCCCTCTGCTTGTGCCTGAGGCTCAGCCCCACTCTCCTGCAGCTCCCTGCAGGAACCCAGCACACCCTCACTGTGGTCCCCAGTGCTGGGCAGTGGCAATCACAGCCCAACACACCCCAAGTGCCTGATGGAGCCAGCCAGGGCAGAATGCTGGGAACAGCAGGAGGGAGTCTGGCCTGGAGGCAGAGTGTGAGCACAGCCACAGTAAGCTGTTTGGGGAGGCATTATATAGTGCAACTTTATTTTTACATACTGTGCATAGTTAACTAGAATTTCCATGAAAATGAAAATGGAAGGAAAGGAAAACTAAAGTCGGTGCAAATATGAGGGGACAGTTTCTTATTAAATTTAAAAACAGGCAGAGTGTTCCAAATGCCCAGCATTACAGATGGAGGTTTTCTTGTACCCGAAGAAATGAAATTGCCAAAGGATTTGGAAAAGGCTGACAGTAAATCAGTCTAAGAGACGGGGAGGAGATCGACAGCAGAATTTTGTGTCTTCTCTCTTTTTAGTTCTATCAGTATAAAACTGGATGTCAGCATGGATTTGATTTAAATCATGATTTAAATAACTTGTCAGGAAGACTCGACTTTATCATGCTTTTCTACGTGAAGGTGCATTCTTGTTGGTGTGCATCATAAATGTATGCCCTTCTGTGATAGAGTATGTGTTTAATTCAAGTGGAAGAAAAAGCACGATACTGATATAAAATCTAGTTCACCACTAGTTTCTATGTATTTATATTTGTAAGGTTTGTTACTGCAGTGCATGCTCCCACTCAGTGACATAAAAATAGCACTCATCGCCTGGCAAGTAAACTACAGATCAGTTGGTTTTACATCCAAACACTGGGTGTAACTCAACTAAAACTGGGACCCAAATGTAGCTATTCATAGTAATTATGGGGCAAATAAGAAATGTAGGTGATCCAACATTAAAAAAACCCCCACCTTTTCATCCAGACCACTTGAACAGCTTTGGACAAATTTTTCTACATTTCTGTCAGTGACCTTCTTCCTTATTTATTTGCATTAATAATCAGGCATTTATCCCTAGGAAATTTCAGAGTCACTATTTGTAGCAGGTAAAAGCTGAAACCAGAGCAAGAGAGAAGTAATAATGGAAATAATATAAAGATCTGGTATTTTCCAAATTTACAAGTCAAACATTTTATTGTGAAATCTGGCTATGAGGCAGCTATATAGAGATCTTTATCACATTTGAGGAGTTAGCCCAGGAGAAAGGTAGAACAAAATGTTTAATTTCTAAGATGCATGCAATTTTCACTGAAAAATGCATTGATGAGAGTAAATCCAGATGAAAAGATGGGAGATTTGGACAAAAAGAAATTGATTTGTGTTAATGGGTCACTAGATGGGAAAGGAAATATACTCTCCTTCATTTTTGTAGTTCCCAAGGAAATTCTTTATAAATTATTATATAAATGGCATTTGACTCCAGTTAAGAGTAATCATATTTGTGCTACTAAGGAGGCTGTGAGGGTCTGTGGGGAAAGGGAACATACTTGCATGTGTGGTGGTTGTGACCGTAGGACTACTTGGGAGGAAATGGGAGATTCATCTTATGATAAAATGCCAGCATCTTAGTGATCCCCTGACCTGCCTACTTAATGCTCCAGTAAAGGAGCCAGTAAAATTAATTCCTTTTTTATTGTTAGCAGCTAGACATTGTATTACACACTATTGGAAAAAATGTGACACCCCTCCCCTCCCCAACTTCCTGTGGAATTGTGGGAGAGTAAATGATGGATTGTCTTTGTAATGGAAAAGCTTTCACACTGAGTATGTGCACAAGAGAAGTGACAAAAAGAGGAGAGGCATTTAGAAATTGCCCCTTCCCCCCATTATGTACTCCAGAGAGCAGGAGTCCCCAGTCAGCAAGCCAAAATCTTGAGCTAAATTATTTATTTGGGTATTAAGCTGATTCTGAATAAGTAAAGTACAACATATTATGTTAATGTTTTGTTGTAACGTTGCTTTAATAATTTTTAAATTGCATTTATCAGATTTCAAGGTTAAACCTTCATAACACATTGGCCTGAACTGGTCTAGTGCTGTGGTGTTCAATCAGTTGTGAACTAGTCACAGTTAACCAGTTAAATAGCCATTTCTGACTAGTGGCTAGAATGTTGGACACAACAGCTCCAGTGCCTTCTACTGGAGAGAATGTTACATCTGCTCGAATGTGTGTCTCCAGGGCAGGTTGTGGTTCCCAAATCTATATCATAAGGAGACTCAGGTTCATGTAGAGTGTGCACTTACTTAAAAATCGTGTCACTCATAGGAACCAGCCTAGTCCTTCCAGTTGCTATTTC